AAGGAAAGAATATATATTAATCCATTTTTTATAAAGATAAATTTAAGTTTAAATGTTTCAGGTAATTCCTAAGAAAAGAAATGGCAGAAAGAGAAGAACATGTTTACAGAAGACGAGGACCAAGTGACAACAAGTAAAATATATTTTGTGTTTTTAGTGGCTCTTTATCATGAATGATGTAGTATTATGTTTAATGAATTTTATCGTCCGACTTTTCGTACCCGCCTCGTTAGATCGAGTATCCGGGCCGGGTCAATGTTTCAGGTAATTCCTAAGAAAAGAAATGGCAGAAAGAGAAGAACATGTTTACAGAAGACGAGGACCAAGTGACAACAAGTAAAATATATTTTGTGTTTTTAGTGGCTCTTTATCATGAATGATGTAGTATTATGTTTAATGAATTTTATCGTCCGACTTTTCGTACCCGCCTCGTTAGATCGAGTATCCGGGCCGGGTCGTGACATATTAATACGTGTGATGAGCAATATATGTTACCAAATTGAGTGATGAGTAATGAAAACTTCAATATACCCAAATTGATTGTAGTGGAATTGAGAATCGTAAGATGGGTATCTGATAAAATTATTAAAGAGAATGAGAAATGGTTGTTTTGTAGAAACGATTAGAGTAGCAGTGTAGCACCAACTAAAGATAAGCTAATGAAAATTAAATTCTTTGTTGGCTTTGGCATATATAATAAGGCTAGAGGATTCACCAATAAAGCATGATATTTTTAGTTAGGAAGGATTATAAAGGAAAGTTGTTAAAAGTTTGTATAGAAGTCCTACATAAAATAGAGTTATTTCTCATCTTGCACTCAACCAAATGAATGAGGATTCATAAAGCCTATCCTTAATAGTTCGGATAAGGCTAATGATGACATTTCTAAACAAATCATAAACAAATGAGTTATCTTTAGGTTTCTTTTTCATTTTGTTGCTTCTTGCAAATCTGCTAGCTGTAACTATAGCTTCGTTTGGGACGGCTTTCTTACTGCTTCTTGTAGCAGCTTTTTAGTACTAATAAGCTGCTATAAAAAGCAGTAAGAAAGCCATCTCAAACGAAGCCTATATCTCGATTTTTTAAAAATTGTGTTTGACATTTGTTCCACTCATGAAATTAAAGTTTTTCAAAACTTGTGCTTGTGTTCATAGACCAATGATTAGGATGCTGTTTTGTCCTCTGCTTTGTAATCTTTATCTATGACGTTAATGTGCCAAATATAGAATTCATCATCACAATGGATAAAATGCAGAAGCTGGCGTAAACAGTTAATAATTGCAAAAGATGCGAGGAGGGTTGATGTACTATGTGAGAGACTATCTATTAGTGACAAGATCCTTAAAGGAACTGAACGTTACAAAGAACTCCATAGTATTGTGAATGCAGCAGTGAAGAAACTCAAGAAAGAAGTTGGTTCTCTCGATAAAGTCTCTGCAGTGATGGCAAGGGGTATTGTCAACCGACTTGCCTGTGGTGCAGAGATTCAGAAGCTTTGTGCTTATGCCGTGGCAACTATAGATTCTATGCTTTCTACTTCTTTTAACCTCATGGCCAGTGCTGGTCTAAACATCCCAGGTAAATTTTCTTTATAACCTCGGCGAATTCCATTTGGTGCAGTTGATTCCATCCTTTTTTTCTCAATTGCAGCAGGTCCTCAAGTTTTCTGTATCCAGTTTGAAGATCTCTCTCCAACTTCTGTCGTCGTCTCGCTTCATTCCAGAGATGACGCATTTGAAGAGAATATCATAGGCTGCAAGCTTTGGCATCGAAGTTCCGCGACTTCGGACTATCCTGAAGAACCAACCTGCATCATACTAAGGCCAGACACAAGGATCATGATATCAGGACTCTTTCCTTCAACTGAATATTTCTTTAGAGCAGCTCCCTTCAGCAGTACCAAGGAATTCAGTAGGTGGGAGGCCAAGTGCTCCACACAAAACCCAAATGGTAACAGCAGCAGCAAGGTGCCTGATTTGAATTGCATTTCATCATTCCTGAAGAAAGAACACGAGATCGCCGAGCAACCTATTATCATTCAAACCGATTCTCAAAGGGGTTCGACGAACTCCAGTGATGATCACCTGGCAATCAAAGTCTATAAACACGACAGTGACAACAATGAGAGCCACCTGGTGCCACCTATCTTGGAGTCGCGTGCTTTTGTCAGTTCAAATTCTGTTCCCGCCGAAACACCAAGCAAACCCAATAGGATTATCAGCACACCAGGTTCAGCAAACAAGAAGGAATCAGCAGAGAGGGATTATGAGTATTGCGTTAAGGTGATTAGGTGGTTGGAGTGCGAGGGGCACATGGAGAAGGAATTTCGTGTGAAATTCCTTACATGGTTCAGCTTGAAGGCGACGCCGCAAGAACGGAGAGTGGTGAGCACATTCATTCATGTTCTGATCGACGAGCCCGCGAGCTTAGTTGCTCAGCTGGCAGATGCCTTCATGGATGGGATTTGCAACAAGCAACCAGCAGTGCAAAGGGGGTTCTGCAGCAGGTTGTGGCATTGACCATATAATCATCTTCCTCATTTTACACCAAGATGGCTGATTCTTAGTCTGTAGATTTTGTTCATGTTGCAGAAAAACCATACAGTAGGGAGGGATCCTGTTAGGATATTTCTGATTTGTCTTGTATGGGAAGAACTTACCTGTTGGAGAAAGAAAGCCCCACTGTTTAGGCTTTCATGTATTTGAAAATTTGGGTAAGTTCAGGATCCTAATTTTTTTGTTGCAACCTATGAGTAGGGTGGCATGGAAGAAAATGGTATCAAGATTGTCATTTGGGTTCTAATTTGTAGAGCACATAGCTCATAGTGATTGATTAGAATTATTTTCGTCCATAATTGTTGTTTTTGAAATTCTAAGCTCTTTGATCTGTAGATGATTATCGTATTTCTTGTTTTTTGATGTTTGATATTGCTTTTAAACTTTAGATGAATGCAAAAAAATGAAATCCAGGAAATTTCTTGCTTGATTATTAATTTCTCCATCCCTACTCTTCTGTTCTAAGTGTTTTCCAATTAGTGATGAAGTTACTGAATTATGATGGTTTTCTTGTTATTTTTTAATGCAGCTTTTTAGTATAAAAATTAAATTTTTTATATTATAAAGTTGCTTTAAGAAGCAGTAAGAAAGCCGTCCCAAATAAAACCTTAGAATATTTTTTAAAGCTTTTTAAAGCAGCTTTCTAGCATAAAAATGTTTTGAAAGTTGTGAAAAAGCTTATGCTAAAAGCTGTCTCAAGTGGACAATTTTGTTTATTGCTTTTTTAAAATAGCTTTTAGAATTTTTATTTTTAATAGAAGATTGTTTTAGAAAGTCCAAATAAAATCTTAGTATAATGATAAAACTTGGTTATGGATTTTGCCAATGAAATTGGTTTTAGAGGTACAATAGCATAGTGTTATTATATATGAGCCCTCCAAACTTCATTTATATGCTCATTAAATATAGAAAAGGGGAAAATAAAATTTATGATTTTCTTCCAAAAAAAAAAAAAAACTTAAAAAACCGCTTATAGGTTTAGTGAAGATTTTGATACTGTAATTGTGGTTTAGGCTTCATTTGGGTGACTTTCTTACCGCTTAAAGTAACCTTTTAGTTAAAAAAAATTAACAATTTTTTATTACAAAGTTGTTTTAAGAAGCAATAAAAAAACTGTCTCAAGCGAGGACTTATTCTTCGTTTGGGACGTCTTTTTTACTGCTTCTTTAAATATCTTTCTAGTACAATATTTTTAATTTTTTACAAAAAAATTATTTTAAAAACAGTAAAAAAGCCGTCCAAAACGAAACTTTAATCTTGTATTGATAATTACAAGTTAGTAAATCTAACATTTAAATAGTGTTACAATATATAATTAAAGTGATTCTTTGGCAATTGAATTGAGTTATATTTACACCATGGAAAATAATATGAGAAAATTGAGCATAATTCGAGAAAATTTTAGTGTTGAACCAAACAAAGGTTTAAAGAAAAAAAAAACATCAAATGATTGAGAAAGGTTTAGACCGTATTTGAACTATCCAAACAAGTTCCAAACTTGTTTGAAACATTTATTGGATCAAGCTTTAATCATATCTAAATATGATTCAAATCTTGTTCGAATTTAATTCAAATAAAATTTGGCCCTTGCTCGAATATGTTCAAATATTGTTTAATTGGATTTGAAATTTATTTGACCATGTTTGAATAAGGTTTTGGGTTTGAACCTTATTGGACAAGTTTCGAAACTGGTTCAATCAATTTCGAGTCAGGTTCAAACTGTCAAATCTGATTAAAATTTTGTTTGAAACATTTGCTTGAATCTAAATTGTGCCTAATATAAACCTCATTGTTATATAGGGCTCATTTCTCAACTATTCTATAGAGTAGAAAATCCTTGCTACTACAATCTCATGCCTTATGAAAATCATGTTTAGTACATAATTGCTTGCTCTCTCTCTCTCTCTCTCTCTCTCTCAAGGTCTTTCATGATCACATTAATAAGAATAATATTGTTCAAAATTTGTCTTTCGGTGATGAGGGCAGTTTGAGCAAGCTACACTATGTTTAGGCATGAGCTTAAGTATGTTGACACAAAGTTTAGAGATAAATTTGCAAATGAAATCGTAGAAAGCAGTAGGCCTGATTAGTGTGGGCTACAAATATTTCACTCCCCGACCTCTCCATACCGGCCATCTCTTTATTTTTGTTTATTTATGTGGGCAAGGAGAGTTTTAACGAGTTCAGATTCCGGGGTAAATTTTTAGAAGATAGATTGAGTTTTAGATAAGACACTATCTAGAGATTTCGCCATCGTTTTGTGAGGATTTTATGGTTATGCTTTCCTAAAGGTGCAAACCCCTATAGTTAATTACCCCTCTAGATAACAAGAGAGAACTTTTGATTAAGGCTAGTAGTAAGATAAGTCGCATAGGTTGCAAACCCAGCGTATAATAGTAATAGTTTTAGAGTTTGATTTTAAATTTGAATTTTTGAGTTTATCACCATAAACTTAAACAGGTGATAGGGGGAATGAAGATGAGCCCGATCAAGATCTCAACTTAGGCTTCGTTTGGGACAGCTTTTTTATTGCTTTCTAAAACGGAGTTTTAGTACAAAAATAAAAAATTTTGTACTAAAACTCCGTTTTAGAAAGCAGTAAAAAAGCCGTCCCAAACGAAGCCTTAGTTAGAGGAGATAGTCAATCCAACTTGATAGAAGACACCTTATCGACATTCATAGGCTGCTTCATCCAAGGATAAATATCTTGTAGACATGGGATGGTGTTTGTCTGATGGGATAGATCTGAATCCACCTTAGGTGTTAGAAGACTTTATGTCCATCAAATATACCTTATGATTCATTACGCAAGGGTTTTGACGCCATGAGAAAACATACGTGCTTTGGCTGTGATCGTAATATAATAGTGTCATTTTATGATAAAATTTCTAAATCAGAGGGCATGCCATGTCCCTGCTGCCAACAGAATATTTGAGAATAATATTAGTGATACACCTAACACGACATTCACTATTTATAAGATGAGATTAATTTCAAATTTATCACCCAAAACAAATGGTTGCGGGATGTGGATGTGTTTTAGTTTTAAATTTTTAAGTTATAGATTTCATTTTAAGGATTTATACTTTTACTGATTTTGAGAATTAACTCATCCGGTTGATATTTTTTGTCAACACGGTCATTATCGGGGTGACATTTTAATCACTTGTATTTTTTATAAATTTAGAAGGCAATATAAAAGTTTGTGATCGCCTCCGATTAAGATTTTCTTTCAACACGGGCATTATTAGAGTGACATATAAGTCACTTTCAAGTTATGTTTTTTGTATTGATGTTCACGAGCATTTTGAAAGATAGGTTTCCCTACGGCTGAGATTTACATTCAACACAGCTATCATCGAGTATCTAAGATGATCATTTCATTAATTGGATCGACTCTGTTTGCTTGCAAATAGAGGATCGGGTCGACCTCCTAATTACTGGGATTATCTGGTGGATATCAGAGCCTGAGATAGTCATTTGGATGCATGAGTTTTCCTTATAAGAGGCCTTGACGTATAAAATGAACATATAAAGCAAGCACTTTGGTCGGCGATACGACTGTGTATTTGTTCAATGATTCAAGCCATGTCAACTTTCTCTCTCTACCGACAAAGGTTCAAGTTTGAATTAAAGTTCATTTCTTGACCCACGCAGCATTCTAAGATGTCACATGTATGTATGCTTCATGCTTGTTGGGACCCATGTGGATAAATATTTTAGTGTATTTGTGTAATAAATTTAGCACATTAAGTAATGCTTATACACATATGTAAGGTATTTTGCATTTTATAATTGCATGATCTATATAAACTTGCCTTACTTATAATATGTTTGTCTTATGATTGATATATTAATATAAGACATTCATATTTGTATTTCATTCACAGTTCTTGCATAATATATTTCACACATCAAATTTCGCTTAGGAGACTCGTAGGAGCAATCAATTGTATGGATATTAAAAGTACTGACACAATCAACATTGAATAGCCCGCTTAAAGTTGACTTCGCCTTCAAAGTCATGTATCTTGTTAATATTATTGCTTTCACGATTTTCCCCTAACAATAGGTATATCTAATGGAGTTATATACTTGAATGCAAATAGTATTATAATAACTTTGACAGAGAATGATCCAACTTGATCTAATCTGATCAATTAAAAGTTGTCCCAAATAAGCAAATTATTTGGCGGAGTCGGTTGATGCGTGTAGGTGGCGAACGAGAAACGAGATCAAGCCTTGCGTGTGAGAACAGGTTGATGCGGTAGGTGGCGATGGGAGCAGACAGGCTGCGATCATATGTGCAGAAGTATTGGCGGAGTCGGCGGGCTTTGGCGGGTTCGACAATGCAGAGGGACGAACAAGAGCGAGGGTAAGGGGCTTCGGTTTCCTCTCTGTGAGTTTGGATGCTTCTCCGGTTCTGAGAAAGCATCTGTTTTTTATGTTGTGAGAGGGAATTAGAACGGTTTGCGAGATCGTGAGGAAAGTGGGGTCGGCCGTTGGGTCTGATCGTAAATTACAAGTCAACAATTAGGTGAATGACTTATTCAGAAAAAAGTGTAATAACTGTGGATTTAAAAATAAAGAAGTGTTTAACATCAATACTGACCTAAGGGCAAACAGTATCCCAATTATGACTAGACGTTCAAAAAAAAAAAAGCATCATCAAGAAAGGTATGGGGAAATACTGCATAAATTTCTCTCAAATTTTAACCAATTCTGTTTTAGAATATGCTTACAACAAGAGAAGAAATGAAAATTTTTAATAATAAAAGTAAGAAAAATAACTTGTATATTACAAGAGAACCTCTCTTCCAAAATCATTATTTCAAATCCTTGTAAAGTCGGCTGGCCCCAAAGATTTAACTTATTTGGACAAAAGATTCATAGAATTGGATTCACATTATAAGATGAGAGTATAAATCTATAAGCATTCTAGCGTACAACATGAAAGATTTACAAATAAACAAGAAACAACCCTATAGATTTTAGTTTTCTTTTTATTTTACCTTTATTTAAATCATAAACAAACACTGGCAACCGCAGTAGCCAGAACTTTTAAATTGAGGATCTATATTCATGGTTTACTGGGAAAATTATTAGATGCAGATACCGGAGTAGAGATACGTCTTGTCATCCACTTAAAATTTGACACGTGGAGAGACACGTATTTATTTTTTACTTTATATATTTAATATGTCCGCGGAACTTTAAGCCAAGTGCATCAAAAGCACAGCCAAAGCGTAGGTAAAGCGCAGTAAAAAAGCGCAACAAAAGAGCAGTCAAAACGCAACTAAAGTGTAACAAAGAGCAAAAAAAAAAAAAAACACAAGCAAAGTGCACTCCACGTGTCAAATTTTAAGTGGATGTCCGGACGTATCTCTACGTCGGATATCCACACCTAATAATTTTCCGGTTGACTGAGATCATATGCAAGAGATAGATACCAATGATCCACTCACAAGAGGTGGCCTACCAATACTCTGCTTCAAGAGCTCCCCACTTGGACTGCTGAAGATTTAAGGAGCTTCTTTAGTGTTTCCACGATGCTTGAAAATGAAGGACGCTGCCTTGGGTCACTAAACAATAGAAAAAGACCATTGTGAGGGACTGTCCCAATTAGATTTAAACTTCATTTGGGACGACTTTTTTACTGCTTCATAAAACAATTTTTTAGTACAAAAATTAAAAAAATTGTACTCGAAAGCTACTTTAAGAAGCAGAAAGAAAATCGTCTCGTTTGTGACAACTTTCTTACTGCTTCTTAAAGTAATTTAATAGTATAAAAATTAAAAATTTTGTACTAAAAAGCTGCTTTAAGAAGCAATAAGAAAGCCGTCCCAAACGAAACCTTAGTAAGGAAATTTTAAGAAGATTTAACAGGCAGAGAAGGAGAAGAGCATTCTTACTCAGCCCAGCAAGACTCCACAAGGGCTGCTAATGCAGGAGACATATCCTGGGGTATGGTTAGCCTTCTGTTCTGAAATGCTACCGCTCCAACCACCTGAAACTATCAAAATATTAATAACTAAGACAATTAAGTAACGAAAACAAACGAAAAAGGTTAAGCCCTCGGTGTGCTGCATGAAAAGGCTTAATATGAATTACTTGAACAGGGCTTAGTCCTTTCCATGGCTGTTGCATTGTCAAAAGCTCCCATAAAATTACGCCAAAGCTGAATACATCCGACTTCTCATTCGTTGGCTCTCCGCGGAGAAATTCTGGTGCCATCCATTCAGGCTGAAATAAAACTTATCGAACTAATTTCAGCAGCCAAAATGATTTGATGGGAAGCTTCTACAAAAACTCAGAAATAGCTACCAAAATCCACCATGAAAGAGAATTAACCATTGCCTTTAATTTGTCAAGAAAATGTACGAGTAGGGTGTGCTTGGTTTGATGGAATTATAGGGAATGCAAATGCATTTCACTGGGTGGGGGCAAAAAATATATTTTCTAACAATTATTTTAGATATTAAGTGTTATATAATAATTCAAAAATCTATTCTTATGTTTACAATATGGAGTTATTTTAAAAGGATACATAGACAAATATTATTTATTTTGATACTATGATAAACTTAAACTATTAATATTTATAATGCATTTAACAAATAATTCATTCAGCTGATTAAGCAATTACTATTATGGTTTTGATCAATTAAAGTTACACCTTATTTTAATGTCAAGAATAATTAAAATTGATTTTAAGATTAATTTGGGCCTTTAAATAATTAGCATGAAAAGGTATTTTTATTTAATTATTTCTATTAAGCATAAATATTTATATTAATTAAGAATATAATGCATTTATTAGTTAACTATATTTTATAAGATTTAATCGAAATTAATCTTTCACCTTACATAAGATTTTAATGATAAAAGGTTTTTTTTAATCTATTAAATATTTAAACTTAATTAAATTTTTTTGATAAAAGAGAAAATTGATTATCAAATTAATTATTTAAATTAATTATATAAGAAAGACCGCAATACTTAGAAGAATACAAGTTATATAAATAATATTAGATATTAGATAGATTTAATGAATGCATTTTAATTAATAAAAAGGAATAGCCATAATTAGAAGACTATCAGAGCCCTGCATTGGGTACCCATATCACACGTACCCACGTACCCACGCATACCCAATGGGCATGGGTGGGTATGGATATGCTCATGGCCTCATGCGTGGGTATTCAACATCAGAGGACAACCGATTTATATTATTAACATCATATGCATGCAATATATTACTGTAATCCTAACTACGCAGTGTGTAACACTGAACCGTGTCATGACCATGATAAATTTTAATATGTGGCTTGAAAGTTTGCAGTAAGAGAAAATGGCAAAAAAATCTCAATGCCATTAATTCGTGGCAAACTGCATTCAATAAGAGTGGAAAGTGGGTGGGTGTGGGTAGGTATGTCATCCGGAAAGTCACCAAAGGTAAAGCCCGCCAGCTCATAGCGTGGGTACCCAACCAGGACCCTATGTAGGGCTCTGAAGACTATATATAAGGGCAAAACCTCAACCCGCTATACTTTTGAGGGTGTGAAAACTCATTACATAAATAATTAAATATAAACAAATAATATACAAGACTAAATTTTAAAATTGCCTCATTCATATGCTGAAATAAATTTCGAGGGTAGGCAAATATGATCTTCACCTGTATGGGTTTTCGCCCATATGTGTGTGTATAACTTTATTTTATATTGGAAGAATAAAAATTTAAAATTTTTTTGAACGCTCCATTTTGAAATGAAGAACTCTATTATTTTAGAATTTTGGAGGAAAGTTTCTCTCCTTGTGGCTTAATAATATGCATATAAATATTAGAGCTGCAAGCGAACCAAACGTTCGACGAGCTACTCGTTGTTCGGTTCGAACCGATTAAAACTCATTTGTGATCGTTTAATTAACTAAACAAACAAACTTGAACAATATTTTAAATACTCGATTCTTAAATAAACAAACTTGAACACTAATGCGTTCGGCTCATTTATGTTCGCGAACAACATCATTTGAAGTTTGTGAACAAGCTCGACATTAAGCTTGATAAGAAGCTCGATAAAAGCTCGATTCGTGTTCGATTTTGAACTCGTGAATAAGCTCGATAAAAATAATTAATATTTGATTATAGAATTAATAAATATAAATAATATAAATATTTTATATTTATTATAATATAATGATATAATTATTATTAAACTTCAAAAAAAATGTTGTTAGAAAAATTCTGTGAAGATGAGATTTGCTTATAAATCATTGTCTTTGTTACATA